AACGTTAAATGCAATAAACAAACAAAAGATACAATGTACGGGATATACTAACATGTACAAACTACTCTTGCTCATGAAGGCACACAAGCAAGTAAGAAAGGGACAAACAATTCCCAGAGAAACAAACTAAAAAACTAAACATAAGAATCTGCTGAACACAAAACTAAGAAATATAATCTAGCCAAAAAATGGACTGAATGGACTGAATATTCACTGAGTTAATTTTGAGACAAGGCTCAATGTGTCCCCATAAAAACAATTATTTTAATTAAACATCTCATATTCGTTGGGTTACACAATCTTAAACCTAATTTTTAACATATTACATTGGAGTGAGTATCATTTAAATATTTTTCTTTTTCCAATTTTTTTCTTATCATCATTGAAGACCTATGTCCAGATTTATATTTTCTATTGTTTCTTATCAAGACTTATATCTATTATGATAACGACCAATCAAAACTGGATCCAAAGCACTCTCATTTAAGACTTATGTCTATTACGATAACGACCAATCAAAATCAGATCCAAAGCACTTTGCATGCTGCTATGTATCTTCAAAATCATAAAAATCACTCCACAGTATATGTTAGTTATTTCACGAATTTATGGAAGAGTAACATCTCCGAATTAACTTCATGATGCCTAAACAACAGGTATTCGTAACTTTNTCCATTTTTCTATCATTACAAAAACTTCAGCTTTCAGTTTTTTGCAGTTCATCCTTTTTCTCTTAACCAAACCCTGAATTCGACTGCCCACGAACTTCAATTTCTTTGGGGTTCTCACTGCCAATCTGGCACAAATTGAATCGTGTTACCTTGGATATTGATGTTCACCATGAAAACATACACTCTCCCTCTTATCGTTCGTTCAAATACTGAAGCGCATGCTGAACAACCATCAGAGTATCCAGTTTTCATCACGCAGCACATTTTTTGTTTCAAATATCTTCCGAAAAAATTAATAAACTCCCAGAGTTGAGTTGATGAACCCATCATCATCCTTCATCTGGCTCACAAGATTCAAAATCACTTCACGTATAACTTCCATCTCAGGTCTCAACTCACCTTCAGCCACAAAAACATACCTCACATCCCTAAAATCAATCCAACTACACCCAACATCCTTCTTTAGTTCCATCTCATTCATAACCCTCCTAACTCCACGTGCATCCTCCCACCTACCGGCATTCGCATAAATATTCGACAATATAACATATCTTCCCGAATTCTCGGGCTCCAGCTTGAAAAGAGCTTCAGCTGCCTTATTCGCAAGCTCCACATTCCCATGCACATGACTACTCGCCAAAAGGGCTCCCCACATCCCGACACGCTCAAAACCTTCCGGAGCCTTCTCAATAATCTCCAATGCTTTATTAAGCCTATTTTTCCTCCCGAGCAAATCAACGATTATTGCATAGTGATCCGAATGTGGGACAATCCCAAATTTCTTCACCATCATTTCGTAATACCAAAGTCCCTCGGATTCCAAACCCGAGTGGCTACAAGCCGACATTACGCCGATAAACGTCACGTCATTCGGTTTCACGTTTTCCCGCAACATTTTCTCGAAAACTGCGAGTGATTCTTCTCCTTGACCGTTTTGGGCGAAACTGTTTATCAGCGAGTTCCAAGTGACGACGTCTTTCACTTGGATCCTCTCGAACAATCTCATCGAACTTTTCATGTCCCCACACTTACCATACATATCAATTAGTGCGTTGACTAAAAAAACTTTACCAAATATGGTAACATTTTTAGTTCTAACCAGACGGCAGTGGATTTGCTTGCCTCTGCCAATGGCAGCTAAATCCGCACAAGCACTTAAAGCGCTAACGTACGTAACATCATTAGCGGCCACGGTTTTTTCGTGCATCATTTTTCTAAAGTAGGACAGAGCCCTTTCTCCTTCCCCATTTTGGGCCAGGCCCGTTAATAGAGCCGTCCAAGAAACAGAGTTCTTGAATGGCATTCGGTCGAAAATCCGGCAAGAATCATCAAGCCTGCACGACCTCGCATAAGCAACTACCATGGAAGTCCACGAAACCACGTCTCGTTCTTCCATTCTGCTAAATAATCGGTAAGAACTTTCCGGAACACCGCATTTTCCATAAGAGTCGATCAGCGCATTACAGACCACACGATTAAAATCCAAACCCATCACGAGAGCCAAAGCGTGCACCTGGCGCAGAATCTCCAGTGCAGCCAGGTTAGCACTGGCGTGGGCTAAGCCGACCACGGTAAACTCATCCATGAAAATTACACCAAAATTCTTTTTCTGGACTCCACTGAACAAGTTTACGGCTTCTCGGCTAAACCCATTGCGACTCAAGTTAGAGATGATGGAGTTGTAGGTGACGAGATTTGGTTCGGGCATTTTGTCGAGCAGATGGCGGGCAGTTTCGAACCAGCCCGCTTCAGAGTAGGCGGAGATCATGGTGTTCCAGGAATGTGTGTTCTTCAAAGAGAGATCATCAAAGGCTTTTCCGGCAGAAGCTAATGAGCTGCATCTTGAGTAAATCTGTATGAGACGGTTTGTGAAGAAAGTGTCGAGGATTTGAGCTGTTTTGATTAGGTGGGCGTGAAGAGCTCTTCCCAGCTTCAGATTCTTGGTTTTTATGCAATCTGAGAGGAGAGTTCCGCAATGATTTTGTGGATCGTTTATCATATTTATGTCACTCTCATTTAGCCAAGAGTGAAACGAGGTATATATTTATACTTAATTGTGATTTTAATATTTTTTTCTGGGGTGTTACAGTAAAAAATGCATATGGACTGATTATATTTCTGTAGAAGAATAGTAACAGGTTGGAAAAGGCAAATATATGCATGTGTTTGGGCAATCTACATTCCATACCATTCATTTAATCACCAATTATAATTTCTCTAATCCATGTCATGTCCAGTCCACATCATTATTCCATTAATTGGCATTAAACACCACCCCATTTAAACACTCTTATGTTGTAAACGGAAATCCTCAAGCATTCATCATCATTACAAGTAAAACATCCACAAAACATATAAGAAGATAGTAACAGTAAAGAGAACGACAAAGTAGAGCAGATAAAAGCCCTCTCTTATTAATCGATGTCTTCAGTACAAAATAGAAACCTAAACCCTAGTCACCCTAGCTAATGGGCTTCAGGCCTAACAGGTATTTTAGTAATGTCCACATGAAAATATATTTATAACATCTTCCTCATTCTTTGAATCATTTAAATGTGAGACCCATTATCCACTCATTCAATTCATAATAAAATTTTAATATTCTATTCTTAAATGAGATGGACCCATTATACAACAATTATCCACACATTCTTCCCGTTCAGCAAATTTAATGAATGTGGGCTAATTCATTTATCCAATTATATGGATGACCACAACTCATGAATTTGTCTCTTAAGCATTTAAATGAGAGAATTGAACCCTTTCCGGATGCTCTTATTCCTTTTGTCTCATTCCTCATAGGGACAGGGAATAATAATGATAATAATAATAATAATAATAATAATAATATTTAAATGAAAGAATTGAACCCTTTCCGGATGCTCTTATTCCTTTTGTCTCATTCCTCATAGGGACGGGGAATAATAATAATAATAATAATAATAATAATAATAATAATAATAATAAAGAACTGAAATCTTCTATATTACAAGAATTATCATACATAAATGCACAACATGTGAATGAATCGTTCACTGTTAACATCAGAATGAAAAGTCTTCTACAAAGAAATTCTAATTATTCTATTTTTACAATGTAAGTTATAACCAAAGTTCCTAATGGTAAAACACTTTCTATCATCTAACTATGCCTAACAATAATAACACAGTAGTTCAGAAGTTCCAATTCTTAGAGTTATTCTTGTTGACATCCGAACTGACGAGTGTAGTCTCTACAAGACATGTGGCACAATCGACATCCACCCGACCTCAAGGAGAGAACGATGAACATGCCATTCAAATCGGCATCAGCGGGAACTACCAATATATTACCCAAAGAACCAAGCTTGGAGACCGACTTATACCCTTCGAATACCAATCTCTGCAAGCGCATTATGGCTGATAAGACGCATGTCCATCATACTGTCGAAATGTGATCATTAGGAGTGGGCCCTCCCCCTGCAAATCCGTATGTCGCCATCAAATCACATTTAATGTTACTATACTAGCCTTGTAAACAGTGTCCGTGGGTTTAGCACTATAAATACCCTCTCATTTATTGTAACATGCGATAAATTTTCTCTCTCAGTATGAATAGCCTCACTAGATAAAAAGAATTGGAGCTGGTTTATATTATTCTCTGGTCATCCGACTTGATTCATATCAATTTCTATTGTTACTTAGGGAAATTTTTCCCAATAGTTGAATCAATTTTTATAGGTCAATAGAATGGCG